GAAAGGAGTGAAGGGAAAAAGCTGAAAAAATAAAGTCTTTTATCCTGTAGTGCAGTGGTGTGTGGATACTTAATAGACAGGAAATGTGAAATGTCCGGATCACACACGGACCAATGGCGTTGTCTGTTTCTCCAGGTTTATCCCAATGAGCGGCACAGCATCCGATGTCCCGAGTCTGGAGAACATTATGAGATTATGCTTCTGCATTTCCTCCAGCAGAACCTCTGATAAGGCTTTCTACACATAGACCCTCTCTTCCTCGCTTCCGACCCTTCTCTCCTTGTTTCTTCCTTTCAAATTCCTTCATTTATTTAAACCTGCACTGCCTTCTCTTTCACTTGATTTTATTATATGCTGAATGCAAGCTATGCCAAACCTCATTGCACCTCAAGAGTCGTCTGTCTGACTTCGTGGTGTTGCAGTATTTTTGCATTTATAAATTAATATTCAGATGTCAGTGTAATTAGCCTAAATAAGTGTGCTGAGCATTTTAAGACAAAACTGCCTCAAAACAATCAGATGGCGTAATTTGCCCATAAAAAAACAAAAAACCCAAAGTTTTCTGACATTCTAGTGGAAGCAAACAGTGGAAGAAATAAAGCAGATGCCTGTTAAAGAATGTGTCTTAATGCATTTTAACAGCAGTAAAAACACTGAGAATTGGACCTGCCAGCTTTTGTACCATTCTTTTTATTTATTTTATTTTTTTTAAGAAAGTCGCTTTGTGGTTCCTGGAGCCAAGTGACAAAGTTATCAGTTTCTTTTTTCCATGAATAAACACTGGAGTGAAGTTGGCCAAAGTGAAGCTCTGTAAGAGCATACACACTCACTCTTAATCCCGTTTGTCGCATACTCCGTCGTCTATTTGCTTTGAGACTGTGCTATTATTGTCAGCTTTTCTGCAGTGACCACACTTTGGCAGATCTACAGGAGAAAAGATACATAATGCATTTTTACTGCGTTATTAAAAACTTTTATTGATTCTTATGTATTCATAAGTGGTAGATGTACAGTATGTAGCCACCTATTGCCGTGTCTCTCAGTCGCCTGCTTTGGGAGCTTCTTTTCCTTCTGCTGCTCAAGACTTTTGCACTTATTACATATTTGACTTGCTGCCAACAAATTAAACTATTTGATAATGTTTGACAACTGTTGGCACTCTGAGGTGCCTTGCAAGAGCTTAAGACCACCTGCTCATAGAGTATATATCAGGGAATCTGTCTGAGGACCTATAACAATAAAGCCTTATTACATTTGTGTCTGATGACATTTGTAAGATGAGCCGATGTGACTGTTACAAGGTTAAAGTTACTCTCACATACTGAAGAAATAAACTGAAGTGAAGACTTTTTCAAAGTCATAATCTAATGAAATGTATCATTTTCTGCAAAAATTTCAGTGTTAATTTCCTGAGAAATGAGCTTAAAAATGTATACACTTTTAGGTGTTTAAGCAATTGAAACATTGATTTAGGCTTTTTGTTGTATTTTTGCACAAGGAGAATAAACACAAAGTGATAAAATTTGATCATAAAGCCAGTTTCATCTATCTCAATCATTAAGCTAGATTCAAAAACTAAATGCAAATATTTTGTTACTCAACACAGACAAAACAAAGTTTTATTTATGTAGCCATAAATCTAGCTCCAAGGGCTTTACAGTTTATACTACCTAGAGGAACATGGATCGGGCAAAGTATTTCTGTCCAAACCCGACCCTTGCCTGAGAGTGTGGCGTCCGACCCCGACCCGGACCCCACAAGCTTATAGTATATAATGTCTGAACTCAACACTGTTGAGTTTGTATGGTGGTTTCCCCCTTATCATTAACTGAAGCAGACATTTGAGTGCTCCAGCCATTTAGCCTAAAGTTTGATCTCTGTGTCTGAAACCGACCCAAACATAATTTCTAAATTTCTGTCAGAACCCAGCCTGAACACTAAGGTACAAACTTGTCCCATTGGACAGGAAGTTTCACTTTGTAGGTGTGACCTAAAAGAGTTTTATCCTGTTCTTATGTGCTGTAATCAACTGACACTTAAGGTATAACACAAGAACTTGTAGACAACATAGTGATTTCATATTTGGCAAAAAGAGAAATCCTGTTCAGAAGGCTTTCAACGCTTGTGTGTCAGAGATAGAGAGGTAGTTGTTTTCCACCCTTTTGAACTCTGACACAGAAATAAATGTACTGCATTTATACACTACAGTGTACTGTAGCTTTTTAATAGACACGAGAGCTTGCTGATGTTACTTCATTGAGCAGGGCAGCCGGATTGTTTATCGTTTTCCCAGCAGGGCGCAGTGTTTCTGAAGAAATCCTGGTTAATACTGTGCAGTTCACTAAATGTGAATACAAATTACAGTACATAAAAAAAAAATTACTGGGCGCACAGAGAGCCTTTAATTTAAATTCTGCTAATTAATGTCACATGTCAACCACATCCACCTTCTCAGTTCACATACAACAATATTTTGTTTAATTGGTAGTTTTATTTTACAGATCTTTTTCTTGAAGGTTACCAGGGAAGAACCGTTTAGTTTGGTACTAATCAGTTAAGTGTGTTGTGTATTATTGAATTCCAGGTGAATTTCCATTAAAGGAACTTCTCCATGTAAACCCCAGTAAATATGCATTTATGGTTCACTTGTTATTGGACAGGCTGTCCTTTGTTTAAGCTGAACTAATTGTTCAACGATCCACTTCAGTTTATAAGATTAGCTAATATCTCACAAGTCAGTCATGCAATATTCATTTTTGAATCAAAGTTCATGTTTGTTAGTTTTTGTTTAAATGAATTGAAATGTAAAACAGCAGTTTTCTCTTTAACAAGTAAATTTTATTGTGACTCGAGTTCGTGCGTTCATACATTGTGACACCTTCAAGGCAAAATAAATTTAACTTTCAAACATTTTCATGCAAATGAAATACAAAATGTTTAAAGTGTATAAATGTTGAAAGTAAGAAACTGTACAAAGTAAACACCTGCAGAAGGTTCTATAAAATAAGATTAAGACGTCAACCCCCTATGAAGGGAATAATTTTACAACTGTCAATATGACTGAAGCCGTCCACTCAAACAAGAGTTATCACATGGCATAGCAAAGAAATATTTTGTAATTCAACATTTAAGTTAACACATTCTCATTGTCTCTGGCTTTGGGTAACTGTGGTCCTCTGCTCAGTCCTTCTGAGACATACTGAATACAAGCTTAGTGCTTTATTGTTGCGGGTGCGATCTTCAGCAGTGTGGTCTTCAGAGAGTTGTTTTGTCCCTTTGTGGATGTCCAAAACATTGCTTTTCTGCTGTACTGCTGTCTCCTGATATGGCTCGGCCTTCTGGGATATCTGCCATTGAGGTTTGACTCACCACAGCTACTAAACCACCAACCACCTGCAACAAAAGGTGTCCATGTTAAAGATTGCCACAACGTTTAGTTTCATTTTTACATGGAAATAATCTTAACAGTACAGTGATTTGTGGAACGGTTTTGTGATTTGGGTGAAATGATCCTTAAACAACGGGAAGCAGTCGTACCAGAGAGCAGCTCTGCACAGTTGATGTCAGCAACGAGGTCGTTATCTCTGTCGGCTGTGGAGAAGGGAAGACCGGAGGCTCCAGTGTTCATGATTTCCTCCAGAACAGTAGATGAAGAGTCCTGCTTCAAGTGCAGAGCAAACATCTTCTCCTCTCCCTCCACCTGGAACTGGTAGCGAGCTGCCTGCTGCTCTCCCTCCTGATCCGAGAGCTCCACCTGCAGGATGTACTGGCCTTGTTTGGACAGAGAGTGGATGTTCTCCAAGCCCAACCAAAACTCACCTGAAGAACGAGGAAGATTTAGGTAAATTTTTGTGACTGAGGTTTAGTGATGCACTAAACTGAACATGCTGAGTAAACTGTTCTCACCATTCAGGCTGCCGAAGCCATTCTTATAGCTCCCCCACAGCTTATTGAAGTTTTGGGATCCATCTTGACGTTTCTGAATGATGGTCCATCCACCTTCTGTAGAGAGAGCAGCAAGAAAAGAGTGAGCTACAGATGCTTGGAATGTTTCATACAAATCGAGATTTAAGGAAAAAAATACTGCTGGTGAACTTCTTTAAATTTATGAGCCCATCATTTAACATTGATTTGGGCAAATGTTTCTTTCGTTTAAGGTACATAATATATCTAGGTCCTGTGTTGTTATTGATCAATCCAGTGTTTAAATTTGCTTTGAGCCAGTTTAACCTCATCAGGAGGCTGACACCGTGATTTAAACTGCTGGGATCTGTGTATTTTCTTAGTTCTGCTTCCAGCAGTGCAAGTGTTGTTTCGTAAGTAAAACCAAAGAACTGTAGACACATAGCTCCTGTATGACTCACCTGAAGCCATTTCACAGAGAACATTGAAGGGCTGGGAGCTCACTGGTTGGATCGTGTAGATGCCATTCGCTCGCTGCCCTTGTAAAAACAGATCATGACAGTCTCTGGTGAAACCTGTGAAAAACCAGAGCACAGAAAACTCGTCAGATCAGTGGTTTTATTCACACCGTGGCTCAGCTTGGATTGACAGCTGTCATTTAGCAAATTGAAATCAGTACAGTTGGAAATGTGTTTAAACATTCTAACAGCAAAGCTTTTGTAAAGCTGCTGTCCTCATTTTCTCTGATCTTTGGACTGTCAGTGAACTGCTCTGCCAGCAAGTCAGGTCTTATAAATTCAGGTGCAAAGGTAAACTTACAGCAGCTAATGGAATAGCTGATGGAAATTGAATAACATTTCCCCAGGTCACACAAGGTGAAACCTCTTCAAATCTTCTCAATTTTCTCACTCATTTTTTCCCTGCCCTCATAGCAACTTGTTTCCACTTCAAGGCATCAAATTTTTTTTTTTTTTTTGTTTTTTTTTACCTGATGTGGTTTTACTCTGCTCTGCCTCTCCCCTCAGTGCCATCCCTTCATCTCTCCGTTGGTGTGATTTCACTCTTTTATGTGCAACCTGAAGGAATCACAGAGCAGCATTAACATCCCTCTATCGCTGCCTCCAAACCCACAAAAATAAGGTCATCTTGAGGTTAGATGGTAGCCTCCAGCCACAGGTGCCCAGTCATTTGAAGTACAACAGAGCTGAACTGTACTAGATATAAAAGTGGATGTAGTTTAACTCACCTTGCTCTGCAGTGATTGCAGGTGCAGACTCTGCTTCTCCAGTTTGTCTTGTTGTTGCTTGATTTTCTCCACCAGCTGGTCAATGCGTCTGTTCTGAGCTGCCAGCAGCCGCTGAAAACAGCAGGGAAATGTACCATCTTATCAGCTTCAGAGCATCATTGGATGAGGATGGAGGTATTTACTGTAGATTCAAAAGTTTTGTTGATAAAGTACAATTGGTGTTTGTAAGCTGTGGAATCAACTGGTGGTTGAAAAAGTTGTTCGATCTTTTTTTTAGATCCAATTTGGCTTCAGAACAGCTAGATAAATAGATTAATTTCCTCCTCTACACTGAGATCACAGCATGACAGTATTGTTCTCTCACCTGGATAAATGGGTCTCCTGAGTGATTGCTGTTGCTGCCATCCAGTGTCGGCTCAGTGAGCACTTCCTCCAGCCTGTCCATCCTGGAGTGCATGTCCTCGCTCTGCTTCTTCACCTCCTCCATCTTCACCCTCACCTCCTCAGCCAGCTCTGCAGCCATCTTCACTCTCTCCTCCCCCTCTTCTCCTCTGGCCTTCAGAGCTTCATCTTGCTCCTGCTGCTTCCTCTTCAGCTCAGCCACTGTGCTGTTAAAGGTCTTCAGTTTGGTGTTGATGTCTCTCATCTGGGCTTTGGTCTTGTCCACGTGCTCCTTCAGACCCTGGCCCAGCTGCAGCAGGCCATGAGCCAACACATTCACGTCATCCCAGGATGCGTGTTTGTCTCGGGATGGCCCAGCTCTTCTCTCAGTGGGGAAACTGGCACCTGCATGCACCAAAATGATCAAGAGGAGGATGAGAAGCTTTGGCATCTTCATCGTTGAGTCTCTGAGTCTGTGGTCTCTTTAGATATGAATGCTGGTTCTGATGTCTCGCTCTCTGCTGTGTGCTACTGAAAGGCATTGTGAGGTTTTTATAGCACACTGCTGCAGCAGAGGTCTCCTCTGATTGGCTGCTAGAGCTTGATGGGAGTATGTGGGGTGTGGTGCAGGCGTGGAAAGTGTTTCATAGCCTTCTGAGGAGACAACTTGGACCACGATGCAATGAAAGGTCTTAATTACTCATTAAACACTCAGTGAGATAGGGATATGACATGGACACTGTTTTGTTTTCAAAGCTTTGACTGAACTTGGCATCAGATTTTTGTTCCATTGATACAGTTTGTAGTTTTTTGTTGTTGCTAAAAAGGAAAAGACAAATTTTCTGTATAATTTTGGTCTTGTCCACGTGCTCCTTCAGACCCTGGCCCAGCTGCAGGAGGCCATGAGCCAACACATTCACGTCAAGCTTTACTCCTTGTGCAGTAGTTGCTAATGAAATACTTAATATTCAATTAAGTGTTAATTAAGGATTATCTTCATTATTAATTTGTCTGCTGTTTACCTCCTGTTGATTCATTATAGATAGTGAAGTTTATGTATTTTTCAGCCATTAAAATATTACTTTTACATCCCAACATAATAGATGCACCTTTTCCCTTTATCGTCTGTGTTTCCCATAGTTAATGTTTATTTGGGCAGCTCATTTAAACAGATTTCACCCAGTACAAAAATATTTGTCTAGTTTTGTAAAATTCTGTGTGGAAATGCAGGTAAAATGCAGCTTCCCGGGGAAAAAAATCAGGAAAATGGTGAAATGATGTACAATCCTAAATAATGGCATGATGACCTGAATCTGTCAAATTGTGTAGCTTTGAGCTGTAAAACTAAAACTAATGGCTGTTTATTGTTGTTGATCTCAGTGAGTGAAGCAGACTGGTTGCTGTGTGCCGTCAGCGTGAGTCATAAATGCTATGGTGCATTGAGAGATGCAGGAGTCTGTGTGAGAAGTAGGGGAAAGGTCAACCCTCAGGCCTTATACACACACATTCCTGACAACAGTCACTTGCTCACACACACATACACACACACACACCCAGACACAAGGCACGTGTTGTACTGATGAGATATAGATGTCCTGTGAAAACCACACATACTGTACAGTACATTCTGGCAAACCAGGGCTTTGGTATATTCAGTGAGCAAAAGCATTTTAAAAGAATGTTTTACTTGTTCTTCTAAAGCATGTTAAAAAAAATTGTAATTGTAATTGATAAAATTAAAAGGGGGACTTACAGATTTCCCTTTAACCCTTAATTATTCAGCTCTGAAGGGTTGTACCATAGACTGTATGCCACAAGCCATGCTGACAACTGGATGACAACAAATAGGTCAGTGTGGTTATTGTTTGGCTCTAGTCAGTACCACCCTATTGCCATGGTGATAAACAGAATATTAATGGCTCTGCTGTTAGAAACTAAAACTGAAAGAAAACTCAAACCCCTCTTCAGTTGTCTATTGTTTATCCGCACACAAACATAAACTAGAAAGTCCAGAACAGGTGGTTTTAAAACTTTTACGTATAAATAATAGGTCAAAATGGAACCAGACAGCCAAAGAGGAACATTATTTAGAGAGCATTTCACCACAGAGAGACAGGTAGAAATAGGTAGAAGGTAAAACAAATGTTGACAGATGCCTGAAATATGAACCTGGGCACCTGATGAAGGTTTGTGTTCCTTAAATAGCATCAGGACTTTGTTCTTTTATAAAATCAATTGCCATGCTATTGATGCCTGCTCACAAACATTACCCTGAAGATATCAGGGAACTTTTTATTTTCATTACATAACGAGACTGGACTGGGAACACGACAGTGCACGTATGTGTGCTGCAGGCTGCTGTTCTGCACGTACCCTCAGACTCTTCTGTTCTCAGCTGACGTGAGGCAGAGCATTGTGTCTGGAGCTCTGTGCAGAATGTGCTGGACGAGGCAGCTTTTCCTACTTGCTCAGCTGTATTAGAACACAGTGTTCGACCTGTAGATGAGGTCGTGCTTGGACACAATAGCTTTTATGACGGGGCACGATACAGTAACAGCTGTTTTGTGCAAGGTGGAAGGAATAGTGGTGGAAGAAGTACTCAGATTCTTTACTTAAATAAAAGATATCAGATAATTGTATCAGACTAAAAAGTACAATATTTTCCTCTGAAATGTAGTGAAGTTGAAGTATAAGGTAGCAGAAAATGAAAATATAAATGTCCTTTGTTACTTTACTTTGTTATCAGCGGGCACTGGAGGATCTGAGCGTTTGTATAAAAATCACTGATTTGTACATTTGGGGGGCGGCTGCGGCTCAGGAGGTAGAGCAGGTCGTTTCCTAACCGGAGGATTAGCGGTTCGATTCCCGGCTTGTCCAGTCAACATGTCGAGGTGTCCTTGAGCAAGACACTGAACCCCCAGTTGCTCCCAGTGATGTCACTGGTGTGTGAATGTGTGTGTGTTTGGGAGTGCGAATGGGTGAATGGCCAAATAGTGTGAAAGCGCTTTGAGTGTGCTGTAAAAGCATAGAAAGGCGCTATACAAGTATAAGACCATTTACCATTACCATTTACTCATTTTTGGTCAACACAAAATCTAAAAAACTAAAATTGAAAAGTTAGTATATGATGAACATATATCCAGTTATTGAATGAGGTAGTTTTGACACATTTTTTTTAAAGTTCCTTTGGTCATTTCAATATTTTTTAACACTGCCTTCGGCTTATTTTTGGGCCAAAATTGAAAATGAGCAGCAATATCTTTATATTCCTTCATATACAGTATGTGACTGATGATGAGCAGGTTTTTTTCTCACTGCATCTTCAGACTGAGATGTGTTATTAGGTGAATTCTGCAATGAGAATCTTTCCAGTATTTTACCTACAGATTCTTGTTGTAGAATCAACAGCAATTCTCCATCTAAAGATGAAGAGCCACTGTTACTAGCGCCATTTTTCCTCATTTCCTCTCACCTTGGTTTGGGTTTTACAAATGCAGGCTAATGCTAGCTCAGAAACATTGACTGTCCTCTGGTAATCTGAAGGAACCTCCATTATCAGAGGTGGATGACCCTGACTGGCAAATATCTAATGGAATAAAAACGTCCCTACACATCAGACTGTATGTTGTTATCTGCAGATTATAAATTGCAACACATTTCACACTTACTGTATATTAGGAAGTTAAGACAGTTGGCATCTCCTGACACATTTGGAAACATTCCTGAATTGTATATGAACCCGAGGGCAGATTACAACAGAATGTGTCCCATCAGATCTGCACATGTACAGTACATGAGATTCCTCAGAATGTTGGGGGGGTTGGGGTGGAAAGTCGTGTTAGGCTCTAGTGGGTTAGTGTGTGAAGGGTGAGAGCATTGTCACGTGTCCCGTACGTTGCATCAGCCTCTCATGAACATAAAGTAATCCCCGGGTCTGTTTTGGATCAGACGCGCACAGCTGGAGGGCGAGACCAGCATTCCGGGAAACTGAGATCAGAGCGACAGAAACATCCAGAAATGCTGCGGCTGGATTAGAAATGATTTTTAACATAAATCTTGATCTTTAATTACCAGTGTTTGTGATGTAACAGTCAGTAATGTCAAATAATAAATAGAAGAAAATCACAGAGACGACAGATGAGGAAGGTCAAACCAGAAAACCTAAAATTAGCATCTCTTCTGTTCTGTCTATAGATGATTGTGCAGTTTCCTAAATTACATAATTCAGTTTTTTTTAATAGTTGTCATTTATATTAGTTTGCATTTTCCAGAACTATTTCAAGAAATAGTCTGGCACATAACGCCCCATAAAACATCTTAAAATTTTTACTCTGTAGATTTTGTGCAGATTAAACGAAGAGATAGCATGTTAATGGGAATGACTGCTGGCTGTAGCGTCACATTTAACATACAGATGTGATCTTCTCATCTAACATTAGCTTAACTTTGCACTGTTTTTCAGAATTTGATGGATTTAAACTTGTTCTATAAGTCAGAAATTAGAAATACAACATTTTATATTCCAGTCACTGGTATCAGTAGTTTTTTTTTTTTACTTATTAGTTGTTAACCAACAGACAAAAATCATCAGCAACACTTCATTTTACTTTGTTTTTGTATATTTATTTATTACTTTTGTTCATTCTTATATTTCAAACAGTAGATGGTATTTTCTGCAAAACTATATCTTCAGTCCTGGCATAGCTCCTGTGTTTTCTAACATCTAAGGAAGGGTGTATAGTACATGTGGTAGAAGAGAAAAGTGTGTGAAAGGTAACACTCGTATACAGCTTTGTGTATGTTAAGGTCATCAGGGATTCTTTAAAAGCAGCTATTATACAAAATACAAAGGTTGATGATCCATCCATTCGCTTCCATCGCACTGACCTTTTACCCAGATTCCACACACACAGCATCTGTATCCTCATGTTCCTCCTCTCTTCAGGACCTCTTGCTTTTTTCCCACTATGCCATTCTCTGGCGTGCACTTTAACCTAGAAAGTAGCGCTGTTTCCCCAAGACATCCACTCTCTGATCAGAGAGAAACAGAGGTGTAGGTATGTGTGTCAGAGGTCGGCTGTGTGTTGTCTGTGAAGACTGTTGTTGTTTTTATGACTGTTAATGAGGTTTCATGGAAAAAACACTGAATATGTATATTTTTATACAGTGGTGTAAGTACAGTACTCAGTAGCAATACCACAGTGTAGAAATACTTTGTTACAAGTACAGATCCTGCATTCAAAATATTACTTAAATAAAAGTACAGAAGTATTAATATAAATATATACTCAAAGTATCAAAAGTAAAAGACACCTAATATGCTTATAAGTTGAAGTACTTTGCATACTGCTGGGTAGCTGTGAATTTCCCACCGAGGATCAATAAGGTCTTATGATTGAACTGAAAAGTAACTAGTAACTAAAGCTCTGAAAAGTAACTAGTAACCAAAGCTATCCAATAAATGTGATGAGTACAAAGAACAATATTTTTCTCTGAAATGTAGTGGAGTCAAAGA